ATAAGATATCCACCTCTTAAGCATCGCAAAGCTTTCTTCAGGCTTAGACTCAGGGGCAACATGCCCACCACCCTGCAATCGTACAAAACTACTTCACTTAACAACAATTATTCTCACTTCAAATGATAACACGCTGCAACAAAATTGGGTTTATAGAACACTCTCAATTTTTAAGCGTTCTAATAGACCTTTTTATATGACTTAATTTATAGGACCAAAAATATAAATTGTCATATCTAAAGGCGTTGTAATAAGTTTATAAGACGTTTTTTGACGTCGTAATAAGTTTTTTAGGACACTTTTATAAAACGTCCCATTAGCAACTTTATAGAACACTATTTGAAAAAATATCCTATAAAAACAAGTGTTCTATAAAAAAATGAGTTTATAGGACACTTTTGAGTTGCTAATGTAACATTTTGTATTAAAAATGTCCTGAAAAACTTGTTAAGACGCCAAAAAGCGTCATATAAACTTATTACAAACACGTTTAAATAGGACACTTAATATATTGGTCCTATAAGTTAAGTCCTAAAAAGTGGTTTATTGGGACGCTTAGAGATTCGGGGTGTCCTATAAAATCAAATTTGTTGTAGTAAGACGTAGGTTGCTTGCCTTCACAGTAGCGTATGTCATCATATTGGAATAACTCTCTGTATACCTATCCAAACACCATAACCCAACTTCAATGCATTTGATTAGATCATGGAAAAGAAACCAATTGTAACATGCATTACCCAGCAATTTGACCGCGAAGCTTCCACGATCGCCATCGATCAGTGACTGTGTAGTTGAGATCTTTTATCCGTGCTTGAGTTGATTGGTACGGAATAATCATATCATGATCACCACTGTTGTAACTTATAGAAGTTCAGTTACATGCTTCAACCTTTTTACCACAGATTACTACAACAAAATTGGGTTTATAGGACGCCCGCAATCTCGAATGTCCCAATAGACTGCTTTATAGGATCAAAATATAAAACGTTCTATCTAAAGGTGTTGTAATAAGTTTATATGACGCTTTTAGGCGTCTTAACAAGTTTTTGAGAACATTTTTAATACAAAGTGTCGCTTTTGCAACTTTATAGGATACTTTTGAGAAAGTGTCCTATAAACTCAATTTTTTATAGGACATTTGTTTTTCTAGGAAAATTTTTCAAATACTGTCCTATAAAGTTGCTAATGGGACCCTTTATATTAAAAGTGTCTTAAAAAACTTATTACGACGTCAAAAAAGGTCATATAAACTTATTACAACGCCTTTTAGATAGGACACTCTATTTTTTTGGTACTATAAACTAAATCCTATAAAGAGGTCTATTAGGACGCTTAGAATCTGGGAGTGTCCTATAAACCCGATTTTGTTGTAGTGACATCATTTTATGTTGTAAAAAAAGAAGATGACCTATATACGAGAGCGCGAAAACCCTTTTTGCTGAGGTTTAGATGATAAGTTCTAACGTCCTCCAGTATTTTGGTAAAACGTAAATCCGAACTACATCTTACCCAATGCCCTATGCTTCCCTGTGTTATCGTAGAATCTGTGAGCAACACTGCAATTCTATGGAGTAGTATAATATACAAGAATACCTTCTGAACATGAAGAACTTCTCTAACATTGGCATCATTAGCCCAATATTCGATTAGACTTTTCAGTTCATCCTGCATCCATAAAGCGTAGTTGTCACTACAACAAAATCGGGTTTATAGAACCCTCTCAAATCTCTAAGTGTCCTAATAGACCTCTTTATGACGTTTTTGACGTCGTAATAAGTTTTTTAGGACACTTTTAATATAAAGCGTCCAATTAACAACTTTATAGAATACTATTTGAAAAACTGTCCTATTAAAAACAAATGTCCTATAAAAAATTGAGTTTGTAGGACACTTTCTCAAATGTGTCCTATAAAGTTGCTAATGCGACATTTCGTATTAAAAATGTCCTAAAAAACTTGTTAAGACGTCCAAAAGTGTCATATAAATAACACCTTTAGATGAGACACTTTTTTATTTTGGTCCTATGTATTAAGTCCTATAAAGCGGTCTATTAGGGACATTACAACAAAATCGGGTTTATATGACACTCTCAATTTCTAAGCGTCCTAATAGTCCTCATTATAGGACTTCGTTTATAAGACCAAAAGAATAAAGTGTCATATCTAAAGACGTTGTAATAAGTTTATATGACGTTTTTTGACGCCGTAATAAGTGTTTTAGGACGCTTTTAATATAAAGCGTCCCATTAGCAACTTTAAATGACACTATTTGAAAAATTGTCATATTAAAAACAAATGTCCTATAAAAAATTGAGTTTGTAGGATACTTTCTCAAAAGTGTCTTATAAAGTTGCTAATGCGAAGCTTTGTATAAAAAATATCCTAAAAAACTTGCTAAGACGCCGAAAAACGTCATATAAACTTATTACAACACCTTTAGATGAGACGCTTTTTATTTTAATCCTATGAATTAAGTCGTATAAAGCGGTTTATTGGGACGCTAAGAGATTGGTGACAATACAACAAAATCGGGTTTATATGACGCTCTCAATTTCTAAGCGTCCTAATAGTCCTCATTATATGACTTAGTTTATAGGACCAAATAAATAAAATGTTCTATCTAAATGCGTTATAATAAGTTTTTATGACGTTTTTTGACGTCGTAATAAGTTTTTAGGACACTTTTAATATGAAGCATCTCATTAGCAACTTTATAGGACACTATTTGAAAAACTGTCCTATTAAAAACAAATGTCTTATAAAAAATTGAGTTTGTAGGACACTTTCTCAAAAGTGTCTTATAAAATTGCTAATGTGACACTTTGTATTAAAAATGTCCTAAAAACTTGTTAAGATGCCCAAAAACGTCATATAAATTTATTACAACACCTTTAGATAAGGCGCTTTATATTTTTGGTCCTATAAATTAAGTTCTATAAAGCGGTTTATTGAAACATTTAGAGATAGAGGCATCCTATAAACCCGATTTTGTTATAATAAGGATTAGAGAGTACAGAAACTTACGCGACAGTATAATGCAGAAAGAGGTTGTTGCTCTTTAAATTGCATTTCACTTGGCAGTTTGATTGGCAATGTAAAAGCACTACAATTTGGCTCCAAAATATGGGGTTTTTCTATCCCATCTATGCACTACAAGTAAGTTGATGGTTTAGTTTTCTGTTTCTTTTCTGTGTCTGTCAAGATCAATGTAAAAGAGTTAAAGAACCTGTTGGTATAACTCAAGATTTTTGCCGACATGCTACATTGTTGACGTTTATATATTCTGATCGATACTCTCCATGACGACTCTCGAGCAACGACTATACAGACATGGGCAATGAAGAGAATCAGATGTCAAAACACTACAACAAAATTGGGTTTATATGACGCCCCCAATCTCTAAGCATCCCAATAGACTGCTTTATAGGACTTAATTTATAGGACCAAAATATAAAGCGTCCTATCTAAAGGTGTTGTAATAAG